TGCCGCTACGCACCGAGACTCTAGGACCTCATGAGCAACTCAAGTCATTTGCCCAGTCGCGCCTCTCTGCCAGGACCGGCGGTGCTCGCCCCCGGCCGCTTTCACAAATGTCGGACACCTTGGGCGCACCTTTCCATCCTGCCCAAGAGTCCCCCGGCCCACGGGCGAGCCCAGCCCTTCAGCGTACTGGCTCCGTTCGGAGACGCTCGACCTTTTTCAAGCCACTGGACAACAATACGTGGGAGGACGACATTGACTTTTGCTACGATGTCGGGGCCGATGCCGATTGCGAATTCGACTGGGAGCGCATGTCGAATGGACCGGTCAGCGCTCGTTCCTTCACTCCCATGGAGCCCAGCTTTCAACATCGCCGTACTACCTCGACCGTGGAAGAGGAGCCCGAGGAGGACAATGAAGAGACAATCCAATCCCTGGGCAACTTTCGACCGTCGCTGGTCGTCCCCAGCTCCACTTCGATTCCCGATCTCGACTATCCTTCGGCCATCTCCGCCTCTACCAACAGCCTGCTTACGCCCGACTCGTACACGGCTTCAAACTATGCCGCTAGCACGAATAGCGCCCGCAACAACACCTCGACCCCTGTCTCGGATCGTCAGGAACCGTACAACCCAAACCTTCTGGTCCCGCAAGAGCTCAAGGAACAAGCTTCCAAGGAGAGCATGTTTGACGAGATGCTCGACTCGTACGCGCAGCGCGGAGGACCTGATGACGACTCGGCTTCGGACCGCCATTACCCCCTGTTGAGCAACAACCCCAATCGGCGCTCGGCCAATACCCTGTCCATTGCGGAATCGTCTCGCAGCGGGCCGTCGCGCTACAGCATGGGTAGCTCGTATGACAGCAGCCTGCGCAGCGCATCCATTTCGCTGACCAGCCCGCCGCGCCGCAGCCGCAGCTCCATCGGATCCGTACCCGAGCTGGTACACAGTAGGCGCGCGCGACGCACCATCGAGCTCAATGTGGACCACCTCTCCAGGGACCTGGCACGTTTTGCACGTGAGGACGAAGATCGACAGGAGGAGCAGATCAACGAAGCGGCAGGTGACAAGACATTCTTTGCCGAAAACATTTCGGACGATGAGAACGAGCAAGAGCGCACGGCCGAAGACGACGACGCCGACGATGAAGCAAGCTCGCTGCGCCTGCGCCATCACGCACGGCCAGTATCGTCGCGCTCCTCGCGCCGCCAGTCGTCGCGGTCACGCCCAACCTCGCGCTCGTCGTCGTTCCGCCACCTGCAGCACCAACAAAGGCAGCAGCAGGTCCCGCCACCAAATCCCCGCCACACTCTGCAACACATGCCGCCGAGGAGCATGATGGCCCTGCCCCAGCACCAGCAGCATGAACGCACGGCCTCGGCCGATTGCGGCGAGGCCAGGCTAGTTACGCAGGCCGGCGCGCGCGCCCAACACTCGCGCGTGTCGAGTTTGGGCATGTCGGCCGCCCCGCCTGCCAACAGTGGTAGCAGCAACGGCAGGAAGCCGAGCGTGACGAGCAAGACTTACACGCTGAGCTTGTTCCCCACGCCACCCAAGGCGACGAGGTAGATTTGGCGTGTTGAGGGGGGAAGGTTGGAGTGGAAAGACAGGAGGACAGATGCCGGAAGCGAGACAATCAGAAGACAATACCTAGCCCCTTTCCTGGCAAGCAAGCAAGAATACAACCGAATGTCTGTCCTTTGCAACTTTCGTTTCTCATCTTTCTCATGCTCTTTTTGCCTTCGTAGCCCTCTCTCCTTCTTCTTCTCCTTCTTCCTGCCATACTCTACCATTCCATCCTTGTATCTCCTCGTGTCTCCTTCTCTTCTCTCTCTCTCTCTCTCTCTCTCCCTATCTTTTCCTTTGATGTCTCTGTCTATCCCTGCATCTCTCATATATCTCTCACTGTCCCTACTGCATCATCATTATGCCCCCTTTTCCTTTGAATAGACGGATGGCATGGCATAGCATGGCATGGTGCGGCGCGGCGGAATCGGAATCGGAATCGAAATTGGAAAATAGACGTCGGTGGGACACTTTTTTTTTGGGTGGGTTGGCGGCAGACTGGCTGGTTGGTGTTTGTTTGCGTGCATCTCTTTGTTCATTTTTCTTCTCTTCTCTTCTCTTCTCCTCTCGGCGGACGGACGGACGGCCTTATCCCACACACACACACAGTATTGCGTGTGTCTGTCGCGCTTTCGTTACCCTGCTGCTGTACATACACACACGCCTCCTTTTCGTTTGTCTATCTACTCTTCTTCTTCTTCTTCTTCTTCTCCTTCTTCTTCTTCTCCCCTTGCTCGGCGTCAACTGGCTGGCAACGGACGGACGGACGGACGGACGGACGACGCGATCATGCATGCATGGGCTGGCGGCTGGCTTGATACCAATTTCAGATTTCATTGCGCGAAACCGTGTCTTGTGCTTTCTTTCCCCTTTTCGCGCTCGTTGGCAATCTGTAGAAAAGAAGACAAAAGACAGACTGTTTGATAAAGCACGAATAGCAAGCAAAGCATCGACACCACTTTCTAGTGCTTTCTGTTTGGTCTGGATCTACATGCCTCTACTGCTGTCTACCGGTGGAAAATTTTGTCTCTCTATTTGATCAATCGAGACGGTGGCTCAGGCCCAGGCTCATCAAGCCTTGCCATCGCTAAACTGCACAACGGCCCACTTGCCGCTCCACGCCCACTTCCTGCAACCGCTATCACCGCCGCCGCCCTCCATCCGTCGAAGCTCCTCGTCGCGGCCCTTGGGCAAGCCAACGACGACGTCGGCCTTGCAGGTGCGCAGCGCGAGGACGCGAACGCCGCTGGACGGACCCATGGGGCCGATAGCCGTCGTGAAGGGCGTGGCCGGGTCCCACATGGCATCGGCCGTCAGCTTGCGGTAGTTGAGGTCGCCCTTGAAGAGGACGAGCTCGGAGAGCTTGAGGTCGTCGAGCAGGGCGGGCGCCGTGCCCGGCAGGCGCCAGTAGCTACCGCCCTCGGTCCAGAAGCGATTGGGGCGGATGACGAGCTGGCCCTCGGCGTGGAAGCCGCTCCAGCGCTGGAACAGGAACGACAGGGCGGCGGCATCGGGGGGCGACAGCGGCGGCGACGGCGCGCGCTCGGCGTGCCGGTCGTCGTCGGACTGGCTCGTGTAAAAGGCCTGCGGGTCGGCCAGCGCGTTGAGCAGCGCGCCAAAGTCTCCCGGCACCACGTCCGACACGAACCACGGGATCGACTTGGGGTGCAGCACCACGTTGGTGGCCAGACCCGCCGACAGCAGGTAGCCGGCGAGGATCAGGTCGACGAAGAGCTCGAAGCCCGCGTTGTCGAGCACAATGTCGACGCGGCGCTCTGCCTTGCCTGCCTTTTTGGCCGCCAGCAGCGTCGAGTACGCCGCTTCGAGGTCGTTGACCAGAATGTTCTTCTCCGACGCCTTGCGCGCCTCGGAGCCCTGTAGCTTTTGAATGTCTTCGTACGACAGGTTGGTCAGTAGCGACAGGTCCGTCGCGTTGCCCCAGAGGCAAATTTCGCACATCTCCATGAATAGGATCTTGTCGGCGGCTTCCTTCTCCTCGGCCGTGGGCTGTGCCGACTTGCCCGTCTCGAGCTGCGTCACCAACTCTTTGTACTTGGCGGCGAGCTCGATGACGGCCGGGCGCGACGACTTGAAGGTCGAAATCTTCTGGCGGGCGAAGATGTCGTAGTCGGTCCACTTGGACGACCGCTTGAACAGCGTGCTGATGCGCCTATCTGCAAAGGTCAACGCGGCGTCCATTGTTGCTTGGTGGGGCGTCCGTTTTACCTGTACATGTAGCACTCTACGTACAGCCACGGCGCATCAAACCACTTGGGGTTGCCCAGCTGCTCCAATTCCTTGTTGTATCCGGCAATGTCGGGCTCGCCGTCGTCCTCGAGCGGCGTCAGTTGGCGGTCATGCTGCAGCTCGTACTTGAGTTTTGCCATGCCCTCGACAATCTGCTTGCCCTCCTTTTGCGTCTGGGCGTCATCGGACGCGAGGATGCCGCGGTGCACATCATCAATGCCTTGGGTCTGGTGAGAGTTAGCGCTGTGCTGTCAATGGCAGCGGGTCGACTGACAATGATGATGGGCCATCGGTCCTTGGCAGAAGTGTAGGCAAACGACGTCTGGTCGCTGGTCTTGTAGAGCGCTGCTTGGCATTAGCATTTGGCCAAATTTCGCGTGGGTTTACTAACGCGTCTTTGTGTCGTATTCCATGGCGGCGGAGTTGGTGTTGAATGGAAAATGTCGGTTTGGCGGGGTACCTACCACGCCATCTTGGTAGTTGCCCCTCGATCCCAATGACGTCGGCGGATACATGTCCCGAAGCGGTGATCTTTCCGGACACACACACAGACCCGAAACAGCAACACCTTGGCCGAATCCGCTAGAAATGGTTTCCGCTAGGAACATGCCACCGGGCTCCTGTTGAATGTGCTATGAAATGTTCTCATGCCACATTTAAAGATTGCTATCGGCCTATCCTTATTGGCCGTACAAATCATACCATAGAGTGCTGTGTGAGCTCGAGCGGATGGAGGAGCTACTCACAACGCGTCATCATACCTCGGAAATCCCAATGGAACAGACAGATCAGTCAACATTCGCAGCGCAAATGTAGAATGTAATAGTAGAATTTGGCGCAGTTGGATCCAGGGAGCATTGAAACAAAAATTGATTGGGTTATTCCTCTCTCGGTTTCTGAGTAGACTTTTCCAACTTTCCGCCTCTAAGACATGCATCGGGGGCGAGAATGGTCAAAAAAAGGTCACAAATATCAATTGACTGCTTTCTTGTCCTTTGACGCAAAGAAAATGTGAAGTGAACGAGGTGTGCATGCTTAGTCAGCAAGCCAAAATCGAGTCCGTCAGTGCGCTCTATCCAATCACTGCAAGATTTTCCACGACTACTTGTGTTTTGGTCATTGCTGTTTTCTCTAAAGCCAACAAATGAGATATAGATCGTTTAACTTTTGAATTACAAAACGCGAAAAGGGTCTGTGGTCTAGGGGTATGACACTCCCTTAGCAACATTAATGATTCTCCTTCACAGGAGGCTTCTAATAGCGCTAGTATAGTATGGGAGAGGTCCCGAGTTCAATTCTCGGCGGATCCAGTTCTTTTGCCCAAGCGAGTGGAGAGACTTTTGCTACTATGAGTAAAGAGATGGATTGTTGATGTTAACTTTTTTTTTCTAGACCCGCTCTACGGCGCACGGATCTAGTATGGCAACTAACTGCCTACCTACTGTTATAGTTCTTACTAGTAGAATCTGTATTTAAAGGAGGAGTAGGATTTATAGCTATTATCTAGAATGCTGCACTAGGTGTATATTGGTAGGCAGGTAGAAAGGTAGGCATAAGCATGATGAGCAAGGTAAAAATGATGATGATGGTGGTGGTGGTGGTGGTAATGGTGTGTGTAAAATCATTCACGTACAGCGCGACCTATAAGCTAACTAACTACTATGCGGGCAGAGTAGCAACAGAGTGTTGGCCAGTTTTGGGTGTCAGTCAGTATAGTTACCGTCTTGATCATTGCCGGATCCGCGTGTAAAATATCTGCATTTCATCATTAAAAACAAAATTGATGAATTCATCTACTGAAGTGACTGAGTCCCTAAGCTCATCTCATACTCGCCGTGCCTTATCGGAAGAGGATACATGGTACTGAGCCAAAGCTTTGCCCATTTCCCTTGAATCTCTGAACCAGCTCCCTCAAAGAAAGTGGAAAGCAAGTTGTATTCTTTGTTCAATTCCGTCGCACGCATCAATATCTTCGTCCGCAACTTCCCCCATCAGTGTCAAAGAGTTTCTTAGTTGTCTGGTGGATCCTGGAGCGCCACATGTTTGTTAAGTCTCGTCGGGCTGAGGCTGATTTTGCGCACGGCGCTTGAAGTAGACAGGAACCACCTTTGATTCTAGAATGTTTTTGAATTGAACGTTCATGGCATGATCAATCTGTGCTTGCGGCGTTGGCGCGGTGGTGAGTATGTCCTGAAAATGATCAGGAATCGGCTCACCAGCGCTGTAGGTTGAGTCTGGCTTGAGGAAGCCCTGATACTGAGCCGGCATGTCGCGCGGACCGAAGTCGCCGCGCTGAAGCACACCAGGGAAGTCTGGGTCAGGCTCGGGAGCGGTGTAATGTGGCCTTGTGACGAATTTGAGACCCATCGAGCCAAGAGACCGGCGCGCCTCTCTTTCCCGCGATCATTTCCGCTCGGTGCTCACATCACCCTGGAAATTGTCATCATACCACCCGTCCTCCGCCTTAAACCTTTCATGCAATAGCAGCGCTTCGTCACTGAGAACGCTTTCTCTGCGACGTTCTCCAGTGCCCAGAATGTGGCGCACTAAATGGCTCAGACTGCCGTAATCTTTCTGGGCAGACTGTGGGCAGTAGGGGCACACCCAGCCACGGCCAGGATTTTGCTGCACCAGGTGCTTTTGCATGCGATCCCAACGACTCCGTCAAGAGTGATAAGTTCCCTCCTGGTGTCGCCTCAAATGAACTTCCGAAGCCCATTGTTTGCGCTTTGAAACTTCTCCCACAGTGTTGTCCTCTTCGCACAGCTCGCAGGTGCGATTGGCGACTTTCCATTTGATTGACATGGACAAGGCGTTGGTCAGAATTGTTTCCATGAAGGTTCTTGCAAGCTCTTTGAATGGAAGAGGACGTTCTTCATGAGGAGTCTTGAGGCAAATTTTGTCAGCACATGGGCTACCGAATGGGTAAAAGCCTGCCGTTTCCAACGAATTTGAAGTTAAGGGAACCTGCAACGCATACCTAGGGAGATTCATCGGGTTCACCCTGCTGGACAAAGAGACTTTCGTGCTGGTCGACCGACAGAGTAATCTTGTCAGCTCCTTCACGTGCTGCCTCATCTTCGAGGTCAACCTCTGCGCCAACGTACAGGTCAGTCAAACAGGCCAAAGAAAGCATTGACTGCAATATCTTCAACGACTTACCGAGTTCATCATGCTGCTCTTGGACACCAGCATCCTCTTCGTCGTCGTCGTCGTCGTCGTCATCAATGGCAGCGATGTCTGCTCCTGCGAGAGCGGCTTTAGCACGTGAAAGGACAGACTTTGCAAACTCGGAAGCTTTCAGCGCGCCGACACGACCTTCGAATTCTTCTTGGGTCATGTTCGCCTTCTTGAGCTGAACCTCCCTTGCGACAAGCTCCTTCTTTGCTTTGCGCCGCATGTTCTTTTGGTAGGCCTTCAAAACCGCTGGCGTCGAATTTCGGGGTCCTTCAGGATCGATGCGAATGAGCATGCTCATGTATGCTGCCAAGGCAGCCCCGCGAGTCCTCTGGATTGCATGTTCATCTGGCCGACCGAGCGCGAGTGGACTCGACGGAACGAAGCTCCATGCGCTCAACGTAGACAAGGTAAATTTTTCAAGACCTGGTTTTGGCGGGCTTGTGTTGAGGGGGCATGCCAGCGGAAACCTCTGGTATTTATGTTGGATGTTTTGATTCGGTCCATTAGTGAGATGACCTCTTCGTTGCTCGTGCCAGCCGCTCTGATGCGGTCAAGTGTGTCGGCCAGCAAACGGCCCTGGAGGGAGGACATGGCGGCTGCGTCCGACGCTGCGGGTGAGCCTTCAGGCGAGGTAGAGTGGACGAGGTGACCCCACTCTTTCCAATAGTCGTCGACTCGCTGGGAGTTGATGTGCTGAAGGATATGGGTAAGAGTCTGTCGTCGCGAAGATTGCATCGCACATACACTAACGGTTGGTCGGCGTGTGGAAGCAGAAACGCGCCTGGAGGGACGGCGAGTGTGGCGGGCGTGTCAAGCGTGGAAAGGGAAAACAACAACAGTGGACGGTGGGTCGTAGGCGGGCGGCTGACGGCGGGCGGCGTCGGCAGGCAGTCACGTCCTTCCTTCTGTCGATACGCCGGTTGATGCTCGTACTGGTGCAAATGTTTGTGCTTGCTCCCATCAAATGCAAGAAATAACAAACGAGAAAAGCAAAGAAACTACCTATATATGTACCTAGGTACCATAACGCAGAAGCGTCATGTGATTTCTGTCCGCCGTTGCTGAAGACTGAGTCGATTCGTGGAATCAGAAAAACTTTGAAGCAATCTGCTGGATGTCATCCTCCACCCGTTCGCCTTTGCTTCTCGCAAACACCTCCTCTTTCGACTTTGGCACGTCAAAGCGAGTTCCAAGTCAAAGTCTGCCGAGATTGTCGGAAGCTGTGGAGTTTTCCGCGACATGTCCGTCAGCACATTTGCGGCCTAGAATGATCAAGACAAGCCTGTGGATAGATACTGCAGGAACCGAAATGGATGTACTTGCGGCTGTCTGGAAGACGATTTGCCATGGATTATTCTGATTCTTAAAGGCAAACAATCAACCATAACAGCACATACAAGCAAGCAGTATCTGTATCTTCAGTTTCATAAAAAGGTGCCGGGAAGCCTTATTCTCAGGGCCAGATACGCACCAAGCAAGCTCTTTCTGTCAAGCCTCTTCTCGGGAACATCATGTCTCGGGAAAGAAATGCACCAGGTGGTTCAAACCAGCCCCCGCTCCAGTTCAGTATCGGTGATTCCACATTGGGTCGCCAGTGGATTGCACCCACCAATATTACAATGTTGTCTCCCGAATCGTTCATGGTTTACAACAATTTGACGTTTCTGGCTGCTCGCCAAGATGAAATGGCCAAAACTTTGGACAAAATAGCTGCCCATCTTACGACCCCAGCAGCACGTTCAGCTGCAACCACATCTTCAGCGCAAGCCTCTCGGCGTGAGAAGCTGCAAAGAACGGTAACTCTCTCTAGCGAGAGATTTCGTCCAATCGTTGAATCGCTTGTCTCGGCCTGGGAGGAACAGGGAAAGATGGTTCTCGAGATAGATGCTGGGGAATCTCGTACAAGATCCAGAAGGCAGTTACGATCTAAGACTAGCTCCAACAACAGCCAAAGATCGCGCAGCGAATCGGACTCTGCCGAGCCTGTAGCCCCCACTCAAGCTGCCAAGGGAAAGCAACCAGCGGGAAAGGCACCAGCAGGTCGCGGACGGGGAAGGGGGAGGGGAGGTGAGAGTCGCAAAGCATAGGTCGCACAACTTGTGTTCTTTCAGGATGGTCGGGTTGATGGACGGTGGCGCATCATTGGTAAGTTGTCTTTTTGAGAGGATGGCAGAGTTGATGGACGTTGGCTAAGACACGACGAGGAAGCAGCCAATCGCCAGCAGGTAAACAAGCAAAACAACAAACACGGTCAATACTTTCCAGAATGCTGCGAGTCCCCGAAAAACAACAAGAACCATGCTTGGCTCAAATTCAGACAAGGCCGGTAAGCTTAACGTGCGTAAGACTAATAAATAAAACTTACCGTCCTCCCGCCGCCGCGATCATGTGTTGCGAGCGAGTGCATGATTACCCGAATGATTACCCAATGCTCGATAATACGGATTCGATAAAGCATCCACGTCGAACGGGCTTGATCGGCTGTTTGGTCGAGTATTGCTTGCGGAATTTGTTCTGGGTAAGGGAACGAAGAGAGTTTGAAGACCGTATCGAGGCGGGGTTGGTGTGCGAAGAAAGAGGTACGTACGTAGCCTTCTTCACGGCAAAACTTGGCGCTGCGGACGATTGTCTTGCAGCATGACGCTCGCGGATGATGAAGACTTTTTGGAGTCTGTCAGGGCTGGGGAAAATTTGAGCCAGTCAGGGACGCGAGAAAGTAGATTCAGATCGAAATAGCGGCAGATAATGCCTTGCATTGGCTTCTCGGCGGGAAAAAAAAAAAAAAAAAAAAAAAAAAAAAAACACTGTTGGCCTTATTTAAACCCGTCTGCCTTTGGGGGCCAAGGTCTTCTTGCGTGCTCAGTGTCAACAAGGGACGCCTGTACAGGAATGTCTTAGATGACAAGACGGCGACTAGATAACATTCGAGCAGCTGAAACACTAAACGATGCTTTCAATCTCCGTGCCAATAGAGACAAACATGAAGCCACAAGAGAGGCTGAAGGAAGGCTTCGTCTTCAAATCACGGCAAGTAGAGAGACAACCCGCAACGATCTTGCGACAAACAAAAGCGAGGAATCAAAACATCAAATCCGACTCTTGAAAAATCTAGGGCCACGTGCATGCATCT